TTTTTTCCTTAAAAGTTGGGCATTCCATTGCCTTCAGAATTTAACTGTACTTAATCATTGATAAACTGAGAAAGACACTAGACTCATGAAAAATTTCATATATTGCAAGCAAACAAGTAACTACATTAATTATGGGAGAGGGTGATTCAGCACAGACTAAGGTGTAAGACAAAAGTCTCAGAATATTAGTTAACTTTAAGTGAGGGAGATCGACTGAGGAATTTAGTAGAGTGATGAAGTTTAGAAACAATATCTACATATGTTTTTTATTGATTTAAATGTAGCTATTACATGACCCCCATGAAAGTCTTATGATGACTGTTTGAGAAAAACATAATTTTTATTTTATATTCATATTATTAAGGTTTTGTGTGATACAGCAATCATGAGCAAGAGATTTAGTGACAGCAGTAGTACAGAATTCCATATCACTGTAGACTTTGCATCAAGGTTCTGCCTTAAGTCCCTTCCACTTTAGTCATGGAGATGAATTTTTTAGACATCCAAGATGAAGTTTCTTGGTAGTATGTTATTAATCAATGGAATAGTTTTAGCTGTTGAGACTAGAAGGGACTTTTGTGTTTTGAAAGGTGTCAGGATAAAAACTAAGACAATGTATAAGTAAGTAATCACTGTAGTGGAGTTGGAAAAACAATAATAATGGATTCACAATATAGGAGTATGTTGTTTCAAAAGTATTTCTTCTAGAATATAGGTTTGAATATTAACAATGAATGTGGATTGAATCTGAGTTATGTATAGAATTGGCGGCGCTGGACATAATGGAGAATTGTTATAGGAATGCCGTGCGATACAAAGACACCTTTAGGTTAAAAGGTCAATTTTACATAAGAGTTATTAGACTTCTGTGTTTGACAGTTCAAATGATGTGGTGTTGAAGTAACAAAATTTCATACGATGAACACAGCTGGATTGAGTTACAATTGCAGGTTAACTGGTTGGGACATGTCTTGACTCTTGCATGGATCTAAGAAGCTCCAATTTATAAAAGTGGTGCGATCACAGTAGAACGTATTAGAAGAGGAAGGGTAGACCAAAACTAACGTGGTCTGTTGTGGTTGCTAAAGATCCAGCTGTTTAGCATATTATACTAGACGTAGCAATAAATGAACTGACATGGCGAAGAATGATTTATGTAGTCTACTCAAAGAGTATTGGAAACAAAGTTTAGTTTGTTCTATATGCCAGTCATTATGATTGTAGTAAGGAACATAGATGCTTAGTTGGACCAACTACAGATGTATTGCCATTTAGTAATGTAATTCTGGCAATTTATATGCTTTCATATGTGCGTCTTTTTTGTTTCCTTCACTTTCTTTTGATTGCATATATGTAAGATTTACTGTTTTGCATCTGGTTATTGATGCCATGTAGAAATGGTAGAGCAATAATCATTTTCGTCATATGCATGATTTTTTTTTTAATCTCTGAAACTCCACATAAATATCTGATCCACTAAAATATCCCCTTTGAATCCCATCAACACGTGTCTGTAGTTGCCAATTAGAAGTGTATACTTAACCCATTTCCTTATCTTTTTGGTATCAAAATCTAGGTTTATTTTCGCTTTTTGTATGATTGTGCAAAGAAGGATGCCTTCAGAAATTCATTTGACCATGTTAGGTATGGGCAGCTGGATTTACTACAGCCCTGTTGAAGAAAAGCAGCTCCGCTACATATCCTTTGGGTGATGCAGGGGAGAGAACTGAATTAGAAATTGGAATCACCGGATCAAAAATACCACAAAAGGAACCTTTGTTGATTGAAACCTTACTTTTATCTGCATTTGAGAGGCTCTTCTCGTTCCTTCTTAACTTGCCCGATGTAAACAAGTACGTATTCATTTGAAACCTTTTTCTGTTCAATGTTTCATTTCTAAATGACCTGATATTAGTTGCTTTCAAGATTATTATCTGAAAATGCCAAATGTAAAAAACTGTGGAAAATGGTAACTAATGATTTTATTTGTCCAGAAGACAAAAGCTTGTTTGGTCTCAGCTTAATAAGTTCACTTATACATAATTAACATTTTTACTGGTTAATTATGACATATACCTGTTTTAACTTAAAAGTAAGAGAGAGTAACAAATCTATACATATTGCATAGAAACAATTAAGAGTAACTTGCTGTTTTTATCCATCAGGAGGTTGATGAAGATTGTTTCTACCCTTTCAAAGAATCAGCCTCCCTGTCCTCAACTATATCTGTATAGTACAGCGGACAAAGTCATTCCATTTCAAGCTGTAGAATTATTTATTGAAGACCAGAGGAGGATTGGGAAACCAGTAAGCTCTTTTAACTTCGGCTCGTCTCCCCATGTTGACCATTATCGGACTTTTCCTGACGTGTATACATCACAGCTTCACAAGTTTTTGAAGGACTGCTTATTCGTGGTTGGAAAATTTTAGAAATATCCATAATGCAGATTCTCTTGGCTTGACAGTTTAAAGAATTCTTGGTAGTCACATCTATATTTTGTAGTGAGAAACTTGTATACAGTGTTAAGCTTTGTAGTAGTTTCTAGTTTACTATGGTATAAGAACGTNATAGATAGAAGAGATTTCCTTCTCTTTTCTTTATTCCATTCTGGTTTTCTTAAATTTTGAGTACTACAAAGTTTATCCTTATCTGCAAAAGCTATTAAAGTAACATGCAAAAAAGAAAACTATGTAAAGTTAAACTATTAAAGTAACATGCCAAAAGAAACAATGTAAAAAGCTATTAAAGTTCCATTCTGATTTTCATCAACTTAGCCATCTCTCTCTCTCTCCCCCCCCCCTCCACCTGCCCCATATGTATAGCAGCCCAAACATGCAATGAACTATAGAAGCATCTTGAGATGTGTAAGGATTCAATCAAATAAAGACAAATTATGTTAGAATTTAGGTGTGACCTTAATTCCTTATTGAAATAATTGTAGAGTTCTAATTGAAGTGCACATCAAGAAGAATTCTAACTGTAATGCTATTGTGGGATCCTATTTAAATTTAATTGTCAAATTCTAATTAAAGTTCTATTTGGAAGTCCTATTGGGAGTTGAAATTTGTGTTGGATTTGAAGAGATCAAAATAAGGAAACTTTTGGCATGAAATTTCATATGCAACTCTACTTGTAAGGATTGGATTGTTCCCTATAAGTACTAGACTCTTTTCTAGATTTGTGAAGCCAAAAAGCATTATTGCTCAGTTCTTTGTACTCTCTCTCTCTCTCTCTCTCTTTCTCTCTCTTTGGTTATTATCAATAAAATATCGTTTCTCTATCAGTTTCTTCTTTTTGTTCTTAACTTTAAATCTTGTTTTTGTATTATAATCTTGTATACTTCATATTGCTCCATGAATTTCAAGGTAGTTCTCCATCAACTGATGGTTTATCACTGTTCCGCCTCCAACAAGTGGTATCAGAGCATAGACTGTATGGTTTGGTTTAGGTTTTCTAGAGGTGGCTGCTTTGAAGTATGATATTCCACTATTGGATCGCAATACAAGATTTTCTTTGTGGTAAGTAAAAATGAGAACCATTTTGGCACAGATGGATTTGGACGATGCTTTGTTGGGATTTGATAAAATACCAACAACATGAACAATGGAAAAGAAACAACGGAAGGATAGGAAAGCTCTGTCACGAATACATCTTAACCTCTCCAATAATATTTTTCAGGACGTATTGAAGGAGAAACAACTACTGCTTTGTGGTTGAAACTGGAGTGATTATCCATGACCAAACGTCTTACAAGCAAATTGCATCAAAAGTAGAGATTGTTTTCCCATCGCATAGCAGAAGGAGAATCCTTGGAAGACCACCTGGCTATGTTCAAGGAAATTGTCGCTGATCTGGAAATGTTAGAGGTCAAGTATGATGAAGAGGATATGACCTTGATCTTGTTGTGCTTGCTATCCGCTTCGCATTCGTCGATTCGGGACACGATTTTGTACAACCGTGACACACTCACGATCGACGATGTTTACGATACTTTATTCTCGAAGGAGAAGATGAAGCACCTGGTTGGAGCTGTATCTAAGGACAAAAAAACTCTGATGTCTCATGGTCATCGACAGAGGGGTAGGTCGAGGGTGAACTTCAGCAATCTATATTGCTTCTACTGTAGGAGAAAATGACATATCAAGAAAGATTGTGATAAGTTGTAGGCTAAACGTAAGCTGCAAATCATAGAAGGTAATCAGATAATTCATACGAGACCAATATTGTCAAGGACCTTTCGAATGGCGACGATGTGGTGTTGACCGTATTTGACATGACATCTAAGCTTGATGAAGAATGGAATCTAGATTCAATGTGTTTGCTTCATATGTGTCCCAATAGGGCTTAGTTTGAATCATATGAGACAGTGAAAAAGGTGGAGGTGTCATGGGAACAACTAGTCTTGTAGTGTAGCTATAATTGGTCATGTCGGATTAAGGTTACAGGACGGAACAGTTACAATTCTTGGCCAGGTTCGACATGTTTCAGACTTAAGGAAAGAATTTCAAAAAAACTTTTGTGTTTAATAAAAATATAAAATGATCGAATTAAATGTTAAACTTATTTCAACTTGAGTCAACATTAAATGTATCACTAACAAGTCCGTCTCACCACAAGTAATCATCTCGAATCATCTTGCCATCATCATCTGAAATTGAAGAGGATAACGTGGAATGAGCTAACGCTTAGTAAACAAGCCTCATGCATATGATGCATGATCATGATATGCACATGAATTACTTTAAGATAAAAGTATTTCTCAATATGTATCCCCTTTCTTTCATTTATTTAAATACTTAACTTTGACGTCGTAAGCTCACTTCTTGTATTACCTAACCAATAAGAATGCAGTGGGCAATTATTATATGGAACCCGATCAAATCCTACCAGTAGTATCGCAAAGCAGTTAACATTAGTATTATCATTGAACATTGGTTGGGTGCTCCGGTTCCCCCACGCCCCATTTCCTACTCACACATTTCTTAGCATAGACATACACCTTGTAACAAAATATATGGAACACATATCTTTTAAAAACATTCATTGACTCGTCGACATTTGAAAACTTTTATTTTTCTTGAAACTTCATGTATGCTTGTGGATGCATTGATGCGTATGAATATGTCATGAGAAGCATTAATGACATAAATCGTAATAAATTAAATACCAAGTTCACATAATAACAAATTTAAGTAACACATTTATACATTTAATAATATAATGTGTGCATGAAAACAAATGAGAGGTTTACTTACCTGAAATTCCTAAAATTTTACTTTTCTTAAATAGCAAGTGAAAATGTTCCTAACCATCCATGAAGTCAATGTGCCAAAATCTTATTTCGTAACTGTTTATTTAGTAACTTTGACAAATTTACAATTTAAATATAACTTGAATCATTGCTCTATTAATTTAACCGATTTATTATTGTTGTTGTTAAAATGAAAAAACAAATAAAAAATAAAAACCTACATGTAAATAGGATTTACGTTCCTATAAATTTTAAAGTTAAAATCACTCATCATTTCAATAGGTAATAATTTGTTCAATACAATAACTGTTAAAATAATAAATCCCTATATAAGACAATTGAAATAATAAATTTATTTTCCTACAAATTTTATTTAATTGCACACAATCAGTGCATACAAATACAAATTTATAGACACATGCCTAAATATATACATATACATACATATGAGGTATATATGTGCGCGCGCGCACACACACAAACACATACACACAAAACATACATATATACATATGATAATCACACCCACGCCTATATATACTAGATATACACACATATATAATAATACCTACAACTTATATTTGTGTTAAATAAGTAAACACATATACATATACCGGCACATATAATGTGCACAAACTCTTCTATACATATACATGCAACATATATATACACAGTCAATGGCACACTCATTTCATATATAAAATGAAATAGAAACATTATTTTAATACTAATCAAATAAAATGTTATGATTGCTTTTGAATTCAAAATTAAGCAATTGAGTTAAATAATAATTAAAATTTCGTACCTTCATTCTAGAACACATTTCATTGTAAAAACAATATAATTAGTGATGAATATAATTATATGTGTTACGCCCCTAGTTGAACCACTTCGAAAAGCCTACCATTGCATTATACGAGGTGTCCACCACCAATCCGAAGTGGTTCCGAAATGACTCCACCACCAATGTTCGCGCGTTGCTAACGCGCTGCGAGGTACAAAATAATTCTACTAAACCGACCGAAGTGTCCTTGAAGTCGAAGCGCAATGCACACCGAGGTTCTCTTTCAGCGGATCCGCCGCCACTTTCAAAAAGAGATCTGTGTCAAGATCCTCTCTACCCCCAAGGTTTAATTGATTTGACGTCTCCATAGGTCTTATGTCAACTCAACTCAGAAGAAGTTATTATCCGCCCACTCTATAGACGCAGCTGATTGACGCCTATGAGCAGATGCCTCACACCGTCAGATGTATACACGTGTCCCACATCCAACGGTTCTCCTCACCTAGAAATACCCAAGGTTTGACAAGAGGTAAAGGTAATGAAACTTTTACAACTTAGCTCTCCATAACAAGAAAATATATATTTTCCTCTCCATTCTCTTGCACAACCCGGGCACTGCTCCGATCACCGGATAATAACTTGACCTTTGGAATGTATGCGGCCGCCACCACCCCCGCTAGTTCCGGCTGTGTGCATCTGATCGTGCGTTGATTGTGCGCAGGGAGGATCACGTGGAGTAGCAATCGATTGGCCACGTGGGAGGTCCAATTTGCGAGGTCAACAGATTGGCGTTGTCTGTGCGAAACTTCCCGTCCAAAGTTCTACATTCTCCACCGAAAAAGCCACTAGAAAGCCATTGACTTACCCTGAAAATGGCACGTTCTTGAAAAAGAGCAAAGTCGAATTACAATCCAAATTCTTATCACCCTTGAAAAAGGAGTAGATAAGGTGAGTTCCAGTAATGAGGATGCAAACCCCAGGTGGATGCCTCTGAAGAAGAAGTGCTCTGAAACAATGTCACTCACCAAAGACCCCATCACAGGCATCACCAAAGTGAAAAAAACGGCCATGTTCATTGAAGGAATGACTCAAATAGCTGCGGGCATGAGAGATATGATAGCTCAGAATATGGCGATGCATGAATTCTTCATGCAAGTCCGAGGTCATCAGGGCTCCCAAATGCCCTAAGGATCCTTCCCACCTTATGAAATCCCTACGTCTCGTCCCTGAGGCCATATGAGTCAGCATAGAGAACGCCCTCTCGAAAGAGAAGTGGGTACGGAAGTCACATCCTATGTGCAAGGGAGCCAACTAGCCAAACCGCAACAGGGGAGACAACCTTCTCAATGACCTACGGAGCCAAAGCCATGAGCCCTGTTGAGGTAGGAGTCCCATTGCATCATCGAATACACTTCAATGAGATCAGAAATGACGAAGCTCGGATGTTCGAACTCCACCTCCTTGAAGAAAGAAGGGATACCTCCCAAGTGAAACTGGCTAAGTATCAAAGAAAGATGGCTTGCTATTACAACTC